GCACAACTGTGACAGTGTCTGGCAGACACACGAGCTACTTCCATGATTTGTGCAAATCTATGAATGTCTGTAATGCAGGGTCCATTGGGATTTGTGAACGTTCGAAACTCAAATATTTATAAGTCAGGGACTTACTGTATAAAAATAAAACTTGTGCTGGGTGTGGTGGTGATGCCTGTAATCCCAGCACTCAGGAGGCTGAGGCGGGAGGATCGTTGCCAGTTCTAGACCAGCCTGGGCTACAAAGTGAGCTCAAGGCCAGCCTGACCTGCATAGCAAGATCCTGTCTCAAAAAGGCAATAAACAAACAAACAAACAAACAAACACATCACAGGACCAAAAACGTCCTGCGGAGCCTACTAGCAGTAGTATTGGGTGGATGCTAGTGCACTTCCATGTTTCTGCATTTGATTTTCCCAACAGCTACATGAGATGAGGGAGAATTGTCCCCATTTTTACATGAGAAAGCTGCGGCTCAGAGCCCAGGTTCTTCCCATCATACTGCTCCCCTTTGCGCTTGCTTAGCCAGTGCTGTGCTTAAGATTCCTTTGGCACGAAAGCCTGTACCCATTCTTTGCTGGGGCAGCTGCCTCCCACCCACTGAGAGCTGCCAGCGGGCAGAGTGGCCCAGGGCGCCTGGGCTGCTCTTCACCAAGGACTCGTGCTGTGCCCTTCAGGCATCTGCAGAACTCAAGTCACGCAGGAGCTTTTGTGATTGTGACGGAAGAAGCTATTGCCAAGGGTATCCGGAGGATCGTTGCCGTCACGGGTGCGGAAGCCCAGAAGGTGAGCAGAGTGGCTGCTGTGTGATTACTGGAAGAGCCTGGGGTGCCTGGTCAGAAAGTCCATACATACGGTTCGGTGGTCATTGTGGTCAGAATGAAAGTGCAGACTGTGCTACCCCTAGATGTCCTCCCGTTACCCTGCCTGGCAGAGGAAAGGCAGCACTGCACAAGGTTTCCCGGCTGGCATGTTTAATCTCCTAAGCATATGTGAGTTCTGCCTCCTACTCTGGATGAGCCAGAGTTTTGCTGTGGCTTCTGGGGCCCCATTACATCTCCGCACATCCTGGGCAGCATGTGCCTTGTGCAAGATGCATGGTATAGAGGGACAGTTGCTCTGGGGTGCCACATCCTAAGGGTTGGTCATCCCATGGGGTAAGAGAGCTCCCGACTTGGAACTCCGTGAGCCTGAGTTAGCGTGAGTTAGCGTGCACCCCTTGCCAGCCCGGTGTGTGCGGGAGTTACTCCTTTCTGGAGCGGCAGCTGCCAGTGCTTGCTCCCTGAAGGAAAAGAACATCTGGTGTCTTGGTTTGTTGCTGCACAGCTGTTTACAGAGAGCACAGTGAGACTAACAGTTACCACTCAGAGTTTACAGGTCTGTCTGTCTCCTTTCCAGGCCCTTAGGAAGGCGGAGAGCTTGAAGAAATCTCTCTCCACCATGGAGTCCAAAGTGAAGGCGCAGACCGCACCAAACAAGGACGTGCAGAGGGAAATTGCTGACCTTAGTGAGGTAGGGGCACCCCCTACCCCAAACTGCTCGTTCCGTGGGCTTGAGGATGTAGACCCCCTGTTCCTGCAGGAACTGTCACTGCAGCCAGTCCCTAGTTCTGAGGGAATGGCCTTTGGGTCAACTTCCGTTATCCTGTGTTCTTGCAAAGGGGACCCGTTAGATTGGTGAACACAGCTGGAAAGGACCTGGTCTTTTTTTGTTTTTCTTGTACCAGGAATCAAACTCAGGACCTTGCTCTTGCCAGGCAGGTGCTTGTGCTATTGAACTATATCCCCAGCAAGGACCCGGTCTTATGTGAGAGCTGGACTCTTTATGGGGTACCTTTCTCTCTAGCCCTGCTTGGGACAGCTGTTGTGGTCACTAAAGCAACTGGAGGGCCGGGGATATAACTCAGCGGCACAAGTGCTTGCCTGGTAAGCCTGAGGTCATGAGTTTGATTCCTGATACCAAAAAAAAAAAAAAAAAAGCTACTGGGGTCAAGGCCAGCTATTACATTTTTGTTCTGTCCTTTCCCAGACATCTGGCATGGAGGATCTTGGTTCAAAGGCAGAAGGGGGAGCTGGGCTGGAGCCTCAAGCCCTAGCTCCTGTGGCCTGGACTCACAGGTCTTTCCCTTCTGTTTCTAGGTCCTGGCCACCGCAGTTATTCCCCAGTGGCAGAAGGATGAACTCCGGGAGACTCTGAAATCCCTAAAGAAGGTCATGGACGATCTAGACCGAGCCAGCAAAGCTGACGTCCAGAAGCGAGTGCGTCTGGCAGTGCTGCAGGCTGGAAGGGAGCTGGGAGTGTTTCTGCTGCAGATTTCTGGGTCTGGGCCTTTGCCTGAGCTGCTCTTCCGGATTCCTCCTTTACACAGGTGTTGGAGAGAACAAAACAGCTCATCAACAGCAACCCCAACCAGCCCCTGGTCATCCTGGAGATGGAGAGCGGCGCCTCGGCCAAGGCAACTAGGGGCTGGGGTCCAGGCGCTGCCCTGCCTTTCACTGCATGTCCCCTTCCCTCCCAGCCTCAGCCCTCTGGTGGCTGACAGGTGGGCTTTGTGGCTTTGAGCTCTGTGGTCACCAGAGGGCGTACTGTCTAGGGCTGAGGTTAGGCTGAGACACGGAGAGATCTGTGGCTGGAGGAGGGAGTGGCTCCGGGTGTGGCCAGGGCCCTGGCTTGGGGTCCTTCTCCACTCAGGCTCCTGGGACAGTACCTGCTCTTGGGGAGTGCAGTGGTGCTATTCGGGCCGAGCTCTGCAAACTCTCCCTGTGCAGAGCAGGGCACCTGCCACAAGGCCGTGGCCTGATACCAAGTCTCCCTGTAGGCCTTGAATGAAGCCCTGAAGCTTTTCAAGACGCATTCCCCTGAGACGTCTGCCATGCTTTTCACCGTGGACAACGAGGCTGGCAAGATCACATGCTTGTGTCAAGTCCCCCAGGTCAGAACCGCCTGTAGCCTTGCTTCAAATCCTGCAAGCCCCCAGACTTTTGGGAAGCAAAATCTGTAGCATCTCAGAGTTTGGTTTTCTTGCCATTGTTTCCTGAGACTGGTAGATGTGCCCACAGACCCCCTGAGAAGCAGCCGAGCTCCTGCCCACCTATTTGTCACTTTCTCTATCACCCCTCACCCTCAGGCCTTTCTTTGGTGAAAATGTTTTAACTGTGCTGGTTGATACTTGGGTTTGCCACTTTTCCTGGTCATAGCAGTGGCCACCAGCTACTTCCTGCCCCAGCTGTAGGGTCTGCTCTGCCCAGGGAAAGGGTGGGTACTGGTGGCTCCCCTTCCTTGTCTTTCCCCCAGTCCTATTCTCTGTCCTGACTCCACTCCCCCTTGCTGTCTTCCAGAATGCAGCCAACCGGGGCCTAAAAGCCAGCGAGTGGGTGCAGCAGGTGTCAGGGCTGATGGATGGCAAAGGTGGTGGCAAGGATGTGTCTGCCCAGGCCACGGGCAAAAACGTGGGCTGTCTGCAGGAGGCACTGCAGCTGGCGACTTCCTTTGCCCAGCTACGCCTGGGAGACGTGAAGAACTGAGGGGAGGGGCAGCTCTCGCTGGGGAAGTCTCGCCCTCACCTGGAAGCGTCCGTCCAGCCAGGAGCTCTCGTATGCCACAAGGGCATTAGAATCCAGGGACCTTCAAACAGCCCCATCCGTCCTCTAACCCAGCAGTAACGAACATGCCTGGGAGCCATGCTGTGACTCTGTCCCTTTACATTACTGTTCTGAGCCCAACACGTCAGCACCATCTCTGTAAAACCACTACCCAGGACTGCTGTTTAACATCGTCATGCCTGTGTCTGTAGAAAATACCTCTGACCTGAAACTTCCGTGTCTGCAGGTCGGAGGCCTTTTTCCTTCAGAGAATAAAAGGACCATGTGCAATACATGAGGATGCTGTGTTCTCCCGATCCCCTGGGGTGCTGCCTGAGAGCCCAGGACAGTTCTGCGTGGCTGCAGAACATATGCTGTGGCTGTAGCTGGCTCCTCGCTGAGTCACCAAGCCCAGCCCCAGTGCCAGGGCTTTGGGAACGGCCCTTGGGGTTGCCTTCACACAGGTGGCGTGAGATGGACAGAGGCATTCATAAGTCAACAGAAATGATTCACTGGGTTACTGGAAGCAAGGAAGCACCTTTCTTAGCACCTCTTGAACTCCGTTTTTAGGCCTTTGTCCCTCTCCCTCTGAAGCTGCTGAGGAGAGATCAGGTCTCGTGTAGAAGGTTTTCAGGGTGCAGGCATTGCCTCCCCCACTGCAGTGCCTGCCCCCCCTTGTTTCCTTGATGGTCGGTAAGGATGGAGACCAGGAGTCGGGTCTGTCCAAATCCGAAATCAAGGTTTGGAGTCAGTGCAAGAAGGAAGTTTCGCTGGATGTGGGTGGCTGGCCCTGGGCTCAGGATCACCACAGCCTTGGGAGAAGCGGCTCTATGCTGGGGGTGAGGGCTCCCCCCACTTGGCTTGTGGGAGGAGGAGCTTCAAAGAGTATGCGCCGGGTGAGGAGAGCTGGGTAGAGATAGATGATTACGGACGGGTGTGGTGGTGCATGCCTGTAATCCTAGCACTCGGGAGGCTGAGGCAGAAGAACTACAGGAAATTTGAGGCCAGCCTGGGCTATATGGTGAGTTCAAGGCCACCCTGAACCCTATCTCAGTCTGGTGCCTTGTGCAGGAGAGAAAACATTCCATTCATCCATTCGTGTTTACACCAGCCAGGTCACTGGGTAAGGAGGGCTGAAAGTCCTCCCTCCTTCGACAAGGTAGTGGGACACATAAGATAGTCATACATGCGCAAAATTAATTACAGCCCTCACAGGTCAAAAGAAGAAGACCTGAGACAGGCCTAGCCTAGGAGCTGGAGGTGGGCCGGCCCACCCAGGCGCCCACACTGCAGCCGGAGGGCTCGGAGGTGCTTGCTGTTGTCCCTCCGGACCGGCAGGGGCAGTGTGGTCGCGGCCTCCCGCCGCCATCCCGACAGCCCTCGCGCGGGCGCGCGTCTTTAAGCGGGCGGAAGAGCCCGCACGAGGTAGGGCAGCGGGCGGAAGAGCCCGCACGAGGTAGGGCAGCGGGCGGAAGCGGCTCCCGCGCCGGTCGCTGCCATGCCCGGGGATCACCGCCGCATCCGCGGGCCAGAGGAGTCGCAGCCGCCGCAGCTGTACGCAACTGACGAGGACGAGGCGCCCGCTCCCCGAGACCCGACGCGGCTGCGGCCCGTGTACGCGCGCGCAGGGCTGCTGAGCCAGGCCAAGGGCTCGGCCTACCTGGAGGCCGGAGGCACCAAGGTGCTGTGCGCCGTATCCGGCCCGCGCCAGGCCGAGGGCGGCGAGCGCGGCAGCG